TTCTTTTGCTCAGCCTGCTGGACGCTTTGTGTATGAGAATGCCTAATGATTCCAGCCTCTCACTGTGCCTTTATGCATTAAAATTTCTTTGTTACGACACTTTAGGGGCTGGAGTTCTTTGTTGGGGATGAGGAATGTGGAATGGGCACGACTGTGTGGCCATCTTGGTACTGGACCCTCCTGTGGGGATGCTTTGCTGGCCACTCCAGGCCCCTGGGCAGGTTCAGATAGGCTGGGAGCTGAAAGATCAGTTTGGGGGCTGCACTGGGCCCTCACAGGGTGAGGTCTGGATAGCTGGATTTGAGAGCCCTTTCCCCTGATCCTTTCCCCACACATGCTTATACCCAAATTTTCACCACTGGGGAATCTTTCCTTTTTTCACCTTTTTCTTGCCTTCCTTTTAAGAAATACTTTTCTAGGCCATGCGTGGTGGCTCACGCCTGTAATCCCAGCACTTTGGGAGGCCAAAGCAGGTGGATAACCAGGTCAGGAGATCAAGACCATCTTGGCCAACATGGTGAAACGCTGCCTCTACTAAAAATGCAAAAATCAGCTGGGCGTGGTGGCAGGCTTCTATAATCCCAGCTATTCAGGAGGCTGAGGCAGGAAGAATAGCTTGAATCAGGGAGTTGGAGGTTGTGGTGAGCCGAGATTGCGCCACTGCACTCCAGCCTGGCAACACAGCGAGACTCCCATCTCAAAAAAAAAAAAAAAAAAAAAAAAAAAAAATCGTTGGAGCCAGGCATGGTGGCTCACGCCTGTAATCCAAGCACTTTGGAGGCCAAGGCAGGCGGATTACCTGGGGTCGAGAGTTCAAGACCAGCCTGACCAACATGGTGAAACCCTGTCTTTAAAAAAACAACAAAAAAAAAGCTGGGTGAGGTGGCTCGTGCCTATAATCCCAGTACTTTGGGAGGCCAAGGCAGATGGATCATGAGGTAGGTCAGGAGTTCAAGACCAGCCTGATGAAACCCTGTCTCCACAAAAAAAAAAAAAAAAAAAAAAAAAAAAAAAAAAAAGAAGGGGCCAGGCGCGGTGGCTCAAGCCTGTAATCCCAGCACTTTGGGAGGCCGAGGCGGGTGGATCACGAGGTCAAGAGATCGAGACCATCCCGGTCAACATGGTGAAACCCCGTCTCTACTAAAAATACAAAAAATTGGCCGGGCGCGGTGGCTCAAGCCTGTAATCCCAGCACTTTGGGAGGCCGAGGCGGGTGGATCACGAGGTCGAGAGATTGAGACCATCCTGGTCAACATGGTGAAACCCCGTCTCTACTAAAAATACAAAAAATTAGCTGGGCATGGTGGCACATGCCTGTAATCCCAGCTACTCAGGAGGCTGAGGCAGGAGAATTGCCTGAACCCAGGAGGCGGAGGTTGCGGTGAGCCGAGATCGCGCCATTGCACTCCAGCCTGGGTAACAAGAGCGAAACTCCGTCTCAAAAAAAAAAAAAAAAAAAAATACAAAAAATTAGCTGGGCATGGTGGCGCGTGCCTGTAATCCCAGCTACTCAGGAAGCTAAGACAGGAGAATTGCCTGAACCCAGGAGGCGGAGGTTGCGGTGAGCCGAGATCGCGCCATTGCACTCCAGCCTGGGTAACAAGAGCGAAACTCCGTCTCAAAAAAAAAAAATAAATAAAAAAAAATAAGATAAAGTACTAACATACATAAGATGAGCTCAAAAACCTTCGTTATTATTGTTATTATTATTATTATTTTTGAGACGGAGTTTCACTCTGTCATGCAGGCTAGAGTACAATGGCGTGATCTTGGCTCACTGCAACCTCTGCCTCCCGTGTTCAAGGAGTTCTCTACCTCAGCCTCCAGAGTAGCCGGTATTACAGGCACACACCACCACACCCAGTTAATTTTTGTATTCTTTTTTTTTTTTTTTTGAGACGGAGTTTCACTCTTGTTACCCAGGCTGGAGTGCAATGGCGCGATCTCAGCTCACCGCAACCTCCTCCTCCTGGGTTCAGGCAATTCTCCTGCCTCAGCCTCCTGAGTAGCTTGGATTACAGGCATGTGCCACCATGCCCAGCTACTTTTTTGTATTTTTAGTAGAGATGGGTTTTCACCATGTTGACCAGGATGGTTTCGATCTATTGACCTCGTGATCCACCCGCCTCGGCCTCCCAAAGTGCTGGGATTACAGGCTTGAGCCACCGCGCCCGGCCAATTTTTGTATTCTTAGTAGAGACAGGGTTTCACCAAATTGGCCAGGCTGATCTTGAACTCCTGACAGGTGATCCACCTGCCCGGGCCTCCCAAAGTGCTGAGATTACAGGTGTGAGCCACCACGCCTGACAAAAACCTTAGTTATTATAACCACTAACTTTCTTTTTTGTTTATCAACTTTTGTATGGAGAAGAGTGACCAAGCCCCTGGCTCCTTGTTGACATCTGACCTGGAGTTCCAGAATAGCTGGAAGTACCTTAGACATCTGGGTCAACAAAGGAGGACTTATGGCCTTGTGTCATCCTGGGAGTCTAAGGAGGGTCCAGGTTGGAAAGCAGATTCTGGCTCCAAGTCGGCAAGAGCTCTGTTCCATGCCTGGTTCCTTACTCACCAGGATGGATGGCTTTCCCGGACACTTCCCGTCCTGGCTTCCCCTCCCTTGCAGTTCCTAGACTCTCTAGAGCTACCAAGGGAAGGAGGGGTTGGGCAGCAGCCCTACCCACTCTGGACTTGGGTCTGGAGGAAAGTGAAGGTGGGGATCAGGCAGAGCAACAGCAGCAGCAGAGATGTGGATGATGGTGGAAAAAAACGTGTGAAGTCCATCCTTTTCCCTCCTCTCCATCTTGGCTTTGGAAGCCGGCACAGAGAGAAATGGAGGAGTGTGGTGCGTGGAATGTGGGTGATGTGGCGATAGATAACTTCTTTTCACATTCTCCTGCCATCATTTTTTCCATCTCTGCTCCCTCAAAGCACTGTGCTCCTCACCCCTGCCTTGCCTGTTAGCAGATGTGTGTGAAGCCAGCACCACAGTCCAGGTGTGTGTGGTGTTTGTGCTGCACCCCGCACCAGATGTGCGAGTTCTGTGTTCTGTGTGCATGTTGTATTAGTCTGTGTGTGAGTAGATTTTCTGTGTGCTGTGAGATATGTGCATGAGTGTGTATGTTGTACCCGAGGGGATGAGGTTCCTATGAATGCAGCTGGCCCTGTTCTACGGACGCAGGACAAGTTTACAGACACAGAAATGGACTCTCCTTTCTTTTTTTGAGACTGAGTCCCGCTCTGCTGCCCAGGCTGGAGTGCCATGGTCAGGTCTTGGCTCACTGCAACCTTCACCTCCCGGGTTCAAGCGATTCTCCTGCCTCAGCCTCCTGAGTAGCTGGGTTTACAGGAATGCGCCAGCACGCCCGGCTAATTTTTTATATTTTTAGTAGGGACGGGGTTTTTCCATGTTGGTCAGGCTGGTTTCGAATTCCTGACCTCAGGTGATCCACCCCCCTCGTCCTCCCAAAGTCCTGGGATTACAGGCAGGAGCCACCACGCCTGGCCTGAACGGACTCTCTAGCGGGCATTATTGTCTCTGGAACAGGTTGTCCCACAGGGGCCGGGGGCGGGGAACGCTGCGGGGTGGCGCGGGGGCTGGGAGCCCACATCAGGTTTTCACCCGGGGGTTAGGCCTTGGGAGAGGCCTGTGGACAGAGAGGGGAAGCCCGGCTTCCTCCGGAACCGGAGAGACCTTGAAGCCAGGACGGTGGGTGGAAATGGCGGCGCCCGGAGGCCCTCGATCGCCGGCGGGCAGAAGTGGGTGTGCCGCGGGGTTCCCGAGGGTCGGCGGGGCGGGGAGCGGGCAGGTATCAGGTCTCCATATGTAAGCCTGGAGTCTGAAAGTCTGAAGTCCTGCTTGCTTCAGCTGATGTCTCTCACCCCCTGCCTGCGTTCGCCGTTGTCCCTGATCGCTTCCCTGGACTAGCCCCTCACCCAACCCTGCCATCTTAACTGTTCTTATGATAATGTAAATACCTCTCACTCAACCCTGCCATTGTAACGGAATTTGTGGTCATGTATACTCCTTGCCCCCTACCCCACCACTGTAACTGATCTTACTCTGCAACACCCCGGCCCCCCAAAACACTACCCAAACCTATAACACCAGCTCCTATCCCACTGCCCTTTGCTAATGCCCTTTTCGGCTTTGGCCCACCTGCACCCAGGTGAATAACAGCCACAGCCATGTTGCTCACACCAAGCCTGTTTGGAAGGTCTCTTCATTCAAACCGCGCGGTTTTTCAACAGCCAGAGTGTGCAGTTGAGAGAATGGCTGGTGCGGGGCTAAAATGGGGCTGGGACGAGGCTCGGTGTAAGGCTAACAGCTGGGGCTACGATCTGGAGGCAGGGTTAAAATCTCGGGTTTGGACTGCGATCTGGAACCAGGGATGGGTGGTGAGCGCGGGGCCTGTAAAGTTAAGGTCTGAGATAAACGCTAAGTCCTAGGGTTACGCGGGGAACAAAGAGGGGCCTGGGAGGCGCCGGGAGGCCCCGGATGAAGAACGCGGCTGACGCTGAGCCCGGGGCTGGAGAGACCACGCAGCGGGAGCGGGGAGGGGCAGGCGGGCGGGGGCTGCGCCAGAATGAGTCGGAGTTAGGGGCTAGGCGGGGTCGAAGCCTAGACTGGAGTTCACGGTCGGGCCGAGGGCTCCGCCTGGCAGAGGCTCGGGGTTGAACTTCACGGAAGAGACCTGTGGAGACGAAGACTTCGGCGGAGAGCGATGTGGGTCAGAACTACGCTCACAACTGAAAGGTGGACTAAGGAAAAGACCGAGCCCAAGGCCCGCTCGTGGGATGTGAGACGGCGCCGCGGTAAGAGGGGCGTGGCAGAAGCTGGGGCGTGGCGCAGCCTGGCTCGTGGACCCGGGGCGGCGCACGCGGGAGGCGGGGCCCAGGGCTGGGCCGGGGCGGAGCTAGGGCCGGGGGCGGGCTTGCGTCGAGCCGCGGGCCAATGATTGAAGACTGGGAACCTGCGCCCTGCTGGGCCGCCCGTGGGTTGGGCTGGAAATCTGGGCGGTCGGACTGGGAGGCACCGCCGGGCCCTACCCGCGGGCGCCGGCTGCTGCCTTTGAAGCGCGGGTCTTGGCTGGGGCCCATGGACCAGTGCCCACCCCGACGCCGGGGCGGGAGCGGGCGGTTCCATCGACCCTGAGGGTGGACCAAGGAATCTGGGGGTTCCACGCGTGACATCACAATTGCCTCTGCGGGGGCGAGGCCAGAGAGGCATTTCCTAGGAGACGCGGGCGCACTGCCCCTCCCTTGCTTCCACCTTTTCCCTCTTTCCTACTTTCTTACCTCCCCTTTCTCCTTCCCTCCCTTCCCTCCCTACTCCTTTCGACTGCTCTGGTGCCCACCCCCTGTGCCTCGAGGGCGGGGAGAGCCCCTCGGCCCCGCAGGACAGGGAGGAGTCAGTACAGATGAGCATCACCTGTGAGTTTTGAGTTAAGCATCTGCGCGCGGATTAACACCTCACAGGGAAAGACACCATAAGCCTCCCACTTCCTTTCACCCTATCACCCTCCTCATTCATTGTGTGCGCAGTGTCAGTCACTCGCTGCAAGAGCTCTGGACAGCTGCTGGTCAGAGCTCCTGTCCTCTGGAACTAAAGAGCAGATTGCTTTTCTCACCTCTGAAGAGAGTTACTAAATTCGTCTCCCCTTTTGTCCCTCCTCCCCTGCTCTCCTTCGGAGACACAGCTGATGGGTGTCCGAAGTCCTGGGGAGCTAGTCAGTGAGAGTAAACAGGCTCTGACCCTGCATTTGCGCCTCTTTCATGGTGGCTCCTGAAACAGCAAGGCTCCTGAAACAGTAGTTTTGGTTCCTCACCCTGGCTGGGGACCCTGCAGCATTGGCAGTGTTGGGGCTGAGAAGCAGGTGTAGTAGGAGGTGACGACTGGAAGGACAGGTGTTTCTGTTGTTTTGTTTTGAGATGCAGTCTCACTCTGTCGTCCAGGCTGGAGTGCAGTAAGCAGCAGGATCTCTGCTCACTGCAACCTGCACCTCCTGGGTTCAGTCGATTCTCATGCCTCAGCCTCCAGAGTAGCTGGGACTACGGGTGTGTGCCGCCACACCTGGCAAATTTTTTTATTTTGAGTAGAGACGAGGCTTCACCATGTTGACTATGCTGGTCTCAAACTCCTGACCTCAAGTGACCCATCTACCTCGGCCTCTCAAAGTTCTGGGATTATAGGCACAAGCCACTGCACCTGGCCTGTAAGGACAGGTTTTGCATATGGAGATGAATGTCTTTTATTTTATTTATTCAATTTGAGATGGAGTTTCACTCTTGTTGCCCAGGCTGGAGTGCAGTGGCGCAATCTCAACTCACTACAACCTCCACCTCCTGGGTTCAAGCAATTCTCCTGTCTCAGCCTCCTGAGCATCTGGGATTACAGGCAGCTGCCACTACGCCCGACTATTTTTAGTAGAGACGGGGTTTCACCATGTTGGCCAGGTTGATCTCTTAACTCCTTCCTGATCTCAGGCGATCCGCCTGCCTCAGCCTCCCAAAGTGCTGGGATTACAGGTGTGAGCTACCACGCCCAGCCAGTTTATATTTTAAGACAGAGTCTTACTCTGTTGGCCAGGTTAGAGTGCTGTGGCATTCTCAGCTCACTGCAACCTCCACCTTGCCGGCTCACTCAAGCAGAATGTGGTTTTAAGGCTTGGCTGTGGAGTTTCATATACAGAATGACCCTTTGTTTACAGGCATGTGTCCCCAGCCAACAGTAAGTAGACAGGGCAGAAAGAGCATAGGCTATGGAACCAGAAAGACCTGGGTTTGAATCCTACCTCTGCCATCTATTAACATATATCTTGGAACAAATTACTTATTCTGAGTGTCTGTGTTCTCATCCGTAGACTGGGGCTGTGGTGGAGATTTAGAATCAAAAGCATATATTTTAGTTGAGACAAGGTCTTACTCTGTTGCCCAGGCTGGAGTGCAATGGAGCAATCATGGCTTACTGCAGCCTCTAATTCCCTGGGCTCAGGTGATCCTCCCACCAAAGCCTCCCAAGTAGCTGGGACTACAGGTGCACACCACTAGCCAGCTAATATTTTTTGTAGAGATGGGGTTTTGCCATGTTGCCCAGGTTGGTCTTGAACTTTGGGCTCGCGATCTTCCCGCCTCAGACTCCCAAAATGATTGGATTACAGATTTATATAATTTCTTTTTTTTTTCTTTTTTTTTGAGACAGAGTCTAATTCTGTCGCCAGGCTCCTGGCTGGAGTGCAGTGGCACAATCTCAGCTCACTGCAACCTCCGCCTCCTGGGTTCCAGCAATTCTCCTGCCTCAGCCTCCCGAGTAGTTGGGACTACAGGCATGCGACCACCAGCCCAGCTAATTTTTGTATTTTTAGTAGAGACGGGGTTTTACCATGTTGGCCAGGATGGTCTTGATCTCTTTTTTTTTTTTTTTTTTTTTGAGACGGAGTTTCACTCTTGTTACCCAGGCTGGAGTGCAATGGCGCGATCTCGGCTCACCGCAACCTCCGCCTCCTGGGTTCAAGCAATTCTCCTGCCTTAGCCTCCTGAGTAGCTGGGATTACAGGCACGCGCCACCATGCCCAGCTAATTTTTTGTATTTTTAGTAGAGACGGGGTTTCACCATGTTGACCAGGATGGTCTCGATCTCTCGACCTCGTGATCCACCCACCTCAGCCTCCCAAAGTGCTGCGATTACAGGCTTGAGCCACATGCCCGGCTTTTTTTTTTTTTTTTTTTTTTTTTTGAGATGGAGTTTCGCTCTTGTTGCCCAGGCTGGAGTGCAATGGCGCGATCTTGGCTCACCGCAACTTTCGTCTCCTGGGTTCAGGCAATTCTCCTGCCTCAGCCTCCTGAGTAGCTGGGATTACAAGCATGCGCCACCATGCCCAGCTAATTTTTTTTTTGTATTTTTAGTAGAGAAGGAGTTTCACCATGTTGACCAGGATGGTCTTGATCTCTTGACCTTGTGATCCACCTGCCTCGGCCTCCCAAAATGCTGGGATTACAGGCTTGAGCCACCGCGTCTGGCTGATTTATGTAATGTTGGAAACATGGAAGTTGATGAAATTATCCAGGACATGCTTTTGTAGAGTCTTCTGAAGAGGCGACCAAGACAGAACTCTGTTAATCACCAATTTAAGGTGTACAGCAAAAGAAGAAGAGATAGCAAAGGAGACAGGGAAGAGCTAAAGAGCTAGTTGGAGAAGAAAGAGAAAGATGAGATCTGCCATGGAAGCCCAAGGATCAGTTTGCAGAAGAAAGAGATTCATTGGTCAATAGGGTCAAATGGAATGAGACAAGAAGGCCACTGAGTTTGGCTACTGGGAAACTGCTGGTGGCCTTTGCCAAAGCTATTCAGATGAAGGGGTGGATGGCTGCCATGTTGCAGGAGGCTGGAGGAGAAGAGGTGGAGACACTGAGCTCACTGAAGTTAGGGACTGGGCCTCTTTTCTAGTGCCGAGTGAAGCCACCCAACATACGTCCTCTAAATGAATGAGTGAATCAATTTGAGATGAGATGAGAGGGGGATATGCAGTTGCAGGAGAAACAGGATCGACAGTGTTTTGTTTAATGATGTTTATAGTCTGTAAGTGGGGGGAAAGCCAGTAAAAACAAAGAAGGTGTCAATTCTGGCTGGGACCTAAAATATAGATGCTTTGGGCATGAGGAAGGAGGGACACCCTTTCCTAGGGAAGAAAAGTTGATGAGGGTTGGAACTTCCACAGATAATGCCGGTGAAATTATCTGCTGAGAGAAAAAAACAGTGGTTGCAGGAGTTTCCGGGAAGTGCTTAAAGTCATTCATTCATTCACTCGTTTGTTCGTTTCACAAATTTTGTGTGCTGGCTGTGCTGTGGAAAACAGGTAGAGGAGCTGGTCAGGGACTTGTAGGAGGATGACCAAGTGCCTTGAAGGCCTGCTGAAGACCCCAAGCAATCAGCTTCTCTTCCTTAAGCAGGCCTCAAGTCCAGTGGCTCAAGGGACAAAGCTAGTTGTGGGACGGAAAGGCAGAGGGGCAGACTCTGTCTTGTGGTTGCTGATGGCTGAGGGAGCTGCTGCCCCTGTTGGAGGTCTGCTCAGGGTCACCCTCTGTCCAAGCTCCACACACCCTGGGATAGTTCTGGAGCAGTCCCTCCTTGCCTAGACCCTGGCTGGCTCCTATTAATCACTCTAACTTTAGTGATGCTCCTTCCAAGAAGTCTTCCGTAATCCCCCATTCTCTTTTCCAGTCCTGGTAGGTGGCCCTTGTCCTGTGCTACTGCCATTTCCCTCTCTGTCAGCATCTGTATCACACTACTGTAATGAACTTCCCCTGTGTCCCGTTCCCCTCCCATAACCCCTCAAGAGCAGGGACTGTTGTTTTATCTCTGCGTCTCCAGGATGCAGCGGGGGCCTGACAAGTGGCGCTTCTTGGGATATGTTTGGTGAATAAACGGCACAGGGAGGGGGCTGCTGCCACCACTGCCACTCTGTGCTCTCTCAGATGTAAACAGGTTTCCCAGCTGGGAGAGAGGACATCTGCTGGCTGATGTGGCATCCAGCACTGATGTGTCTACCATCTCCTCTGAAGGTGGGTCCAGGAGACCTTTGACCCAGCAGACCCCCCGTCACCCCTCACCTGGGAAAGCTGGCACCTGGTGGGAGTTTGGTCCTGAGGCAGGGAGGGAGGGAAGTGTTTGGTTCTGAAGGATTACCCAGCTGCCCCATCCTCAACCCATCCCCTACAGATGCCAGAGGGACCCCTTTCTCAAGGCCGCAATCACCCTATTCCTTTGTATAGCACTAGGGCACATAAGTATCTTTGATATATGTGAATTGAGTCCTCCCAACAACCCTGCAAAATAGGTATGACCACCATCCCATTTTGTGGATAAGGAAACTGAAGGCTGAGAGAAATAAGGGAATTTGCCCCTAGGCCACACGACTAGTAAGTGACAGACCCACGACTTGGGCTCACGCCTGACTACAAGTTCAGGGCACTTTGCCACTATGCTGCCCTTTGGCCCAGCTCAGCAGTGGTGAGGGAGGCTGAGCTGGTGGTGAAGTTCCAGGGTCCTGCCACGCACCGTGCCTTCCTCATCTCCCCTGGTGATTAGGGTACCAGAGGGGAGGAAAGAGATACAGAGATCACCACAGGGGTCAGCAGGTGTAGTGAGGTCCCAGGACTTCACAGCCTCGCTTGGGGAAGGGAAGGAAGAAGAAACGTGGGTAAGCCCCAGGCCAAGCTTCTGGCTCACCTCTCAGCACTGTGAGGCCACTTGGACTCACATCCACAGCCCTGGGCTCGTTCCTGGCTGGGGGCCGGTATGAGGTCTCACCCTAGTTCCACTCCTCCTGGGGACTGGCGAAGAAGGCACAATCCTCACGGCCTCTTTGAGGGTAAGCCAGCCATAGGACCCCAGGCCAGTGCCTGCTCCCTCCCTCCCCCAGGGGTGCCAGGGAACCTGAGGTAAGGTCCCTGGTCCTCTGCCTGGTGATTGAGATCGTGGGCTGTGAGAGGCACAGAGTCGCCTCTTGGGCTTACCTTTGAGACAGTGCCAGGAGGGGACAGCCAGTGGTAGATGAGGGCCTCAGGCAGGGTCAGAGGAGAGGCAGTGGGGGTAGACCTAGGGAACTCTCCTGTCTCTAGGACTGGCATTGAGCTGAGCAACAGAGGTGGGGGCCTTCCTACAGGGCTTTTCCCTAACCCCGAACTCTCACCCCAGCAGCTTCTTCCTGTTCCCTGGGAAAGGGGATGTGGTCTCTGCGCTGCCTAAAAGGGTGCCTAGGCTGGGGGTGGGTCGGTTGAAAGCCTGGAGCTCTAGGGACTAGGGGAGAGCATCGGAACATGCTGAGTGAAAAGCAGGGAAGGATGAGGAAGAGGGGATGGGAAGGGAGGGGAGCGAAAAAAGTGTCAGGTCGGAGGAGAAAAGGGGCTTAGAGGAGATGGGAGGAGGGGGAAATGGGGAAGGAAGGACCCGTCCAAAGCTAAGGAGCATGACGCAGGCCTTAGCTCCTGGCCAGGCTGTGAGGGGTCAGAGTGGGCCAGGGCAGGTGTAGGAACTGAGGATGCTTCGGATCTGCTGCTCCTGGAGCTCTGCGGTGCCATGGTAGGAGGGCCTTCTCCTACCAGGTGCCTTGTAGAGCAGGGCCGACACTCACTGCAGGCAGCTGGGTGAGGGGCAGGCAGGAGCCGGTGGAGGCCTCCCACTGGAGGGAGAGGACGGAAGGAACAGGGAGTCACAGGACAGCCAGGGGCTTGTGATTGTGAGGGCCTCCTGTGTATTAGACATGGAAACAGACATTTTGCTGGGACCTGGGGTTACTCTGAGGCTGTTACTACTACTGAAGCAAAATACTTCTTGGGTGGGGGCAGCTGGTGGCAGCAGGTGAATTTGGTGAAGTTTTAGCTTGAGCTGTGGGAAGACCCAGAGGTCTGCAGCTGCTGCTGAGTGACCCAGACCCCTGCCCCCTCAGGTGACTGCAAGGAGTCTGACAGGTGCTGCCGGAAACACAAGCAATGCACTGGGCATATCATCTACCCATTCGCCTCTGACTGTGGCCGCCACAGCCTGCACCTACACTCTGTCAAGCACTGCGACTGCAATTCTAGGTGACAACCTCCCCCCGACTTGGAGAACCCATGGCAGAGCCACATCCAGACTTTCATTGTGGTCCCCCCTTCAACCTTTGGTTTGCCTCTTCAGCTTTGACCTGGTGCTGCTGGCCCAGTCCCAGCTCTCCACACCTTGCTTTGCTCTAAGAGCGATGGGGAGGAGGTCTGTTGGCAGCCTGGGCCACGCCTAGCAGAAGCCCACTGTCCTTCAGGCTTCTGGCTTTGGGTCCCTGGGGGAGTGATGGGAGACAGGCTGAGAGTCCCATGTATGGCAGGCTGAAGGACTGCTCAAAGAATAGCAGCAGCTCCGGGGGCGCGGGGCCAGCCTGCTCCTGTGTCATCAAGTCCCCTTGCTTTGAGCTCACCCCGGAGGAGCAGCATGTGGAGCGGTTCTGGTATGGCTGGTGAGTGAGCTCCAGTGGGCTGATGGGGAGGGGGCCTCTACAGGGCAATGCCCCCACCTGTCTGTCAAACTTCCTGTCGTCCCTCCTCCTAGGTGTAAAAGCTACAGACCTGTCTCTGTGGCAGTGATACACCATCCCCTTCACCATGAGTGTGGAGCAGATGATGTACATGAAGAAGAGGAAGAGGAGGAGGAAAGCAAGCCTCCTATCCCGGCGCAGGTGGGGCCCGCCACTGCCTCCCCTGACCTAGGCACCACCATGGCCACTGGTACCCCTGACTCTGCAGCACCCATCACCATCTGGCGCTCTGAGAGCCCCACAGGGAAGGGCCAGGGCAGCAAGGTGATCAAGAAGGTAAAGAAGAAAAAGGAAAAAGAGAAGGACAAGGAGGAGGACACAGATGAGAAGGCAAAGCTGAAGAAAAAAGCCAAGAAGGGCAAACTGACTAAGAAGAAAAGCCCAGTTAAATCAGAGCCTTCCCCTCCAGATGTGAGCCGATCATTAAGCCCAAGACAGCTGGCCAGGATGTCCGAGTCCAGCCCAGAGAGCCGGGAAGACCTGGAGAGCGAGGACAGTTCCAGTGGCCGGGGGCAGGGGGAACCGTCGAGCGAGGATAATGTGGAATCATCACCCAGGAAGAGAGAGAACACGGTCCAGGCCAAGAAGACAGGGACGAAGCCCTCACAAACCAGGAAGGTAAACAAGAGAAAATCTCCCCCAGGATCAAACCCCAATCTCAGTTGAGGCCAGGGTGTAGAATAAATGCCATAAAGCCTGTGGCTGGCTCCCTGCTTGCTGTTCTCTCCCTCCAACCTGGCTGTTTCTTGGGGAACAGGGGGTGGCTCAGGGCTGCAGAGGGTTTTCAAAGGCAATCCTGCTTTCTCGAGAAAGCCCATGGGAAGGCAGGCGGGAGGGAAAGGCAGGGGCACAGCCCTGTTTCTTCCTCACACCCTAGGACAAGGGTAAAAGATGCATCTGGGGTGGGAAGGAGGGCTCTACCCTCTCTCCTGGGAGAGACTGGTCTGTGTGAAATCCATTTCTGGGACAGACAGTACTGTCTGCAGCGACAACCCCAATAAATGGAACTTTCTAACCCACTCTATGCTACTGTGCCTGGACTTTCCCTCCTCTTAGTGGCTCTGAGGAAGGTGCTCGTAGTACCACTGGGAACTGACCTTCCCAGCTGGAGTGGTCCAGCTCCTGGACCCTTGTAGCCATTTTTTTTTTCTTTTTTCTTTTTTTTTTTTTTTGAGACGGAGTTTCGCTCTTGTTACCCAGGCTGGAGTGCAATGGCACGATCTCGGCTCACCGCAACCTCCGCCTCCTGGGTTCAAGCAATTCTCCTGCTTCAGCCTCCTGAGTAGCTGGGATTACACGCATGTGCCACCATGCCCAGCTAACTTTTTGTATTTTTAGTAGAGACGGGGTTTCACCATGTTGACCAGGTTGGTCTCGATCTCTCAACCTTGTGATCCACCCGCCTTGGCCTCCCAAAGTGCTGGGATTACAGGCTTGAGCCACCGCGCCCGGCTTGTTTGCCCTTTTGTGTTGAAGGGAGCAGACCTGAGTTCCTGGCAAAGCGGGTTCCTTTCCCCCAGCTCTTGATGAAGAGGGAGGGAGTGTGCCATGTCTGGGCGGCAGTGGCCTTTTCTGACTTCTCTGTTAAGCCCCAAGCCAGAGACCCCACTCTCCTAGCGCTGACTCAGAGTGAGACGAAGCCCTTGTGCAGAAACAGGGAATGCAGGGATCCAGAACAAAAAACGCAGTGGGGCATGGATGAAGGGCCAAAGCCAGTGTGTTGGAAGGGAGCAGGTGGGCGGGGCCCCATCCTGGGGCAGGAACACCTGACTGCTGGGAGCTTGTCAGAGACCAAGGCCCAGCTGCAAAAAGGGAAGAGACGATGGCAGAGACTCAAGTTGAGAAACCCAGATTTACTTGTGGTCTTTCTCCAGTATGCTAGAGAAAACCAGCAGGCACAGTGGATGGGGCAGCTGTGCTGTGAGTGAGTGGGTGTAGTATAGCGGGTAACATTTGCGAGGTACTAGGCGTTGGGCCAAGGAGCTTGCACACGCTGCCTCGGTCTTCACAGCAGACGATGAGGCAGGTATCACTATCTCCATGTTACAGCTGAAAGACTGCAGGAGCTGGCACAGGCTCACAGGGTTGGGAAGTAGAGCAGGGATGGGCCCCAGGCAGTCTGATGCAGAAGCTGCCTAGTCTATGAATCTCTGCCTCTGATGGATCAGAAGAGGGAGTCAGGAGAGTCCTTGGAGCTCCAAAGGCTGCTTTGAAAGCCACCCCTCAAAGAGCCAGAGAGTTGGAGAGAGAAGCTTTGGCAAGGGCTCCGTAGAAACACGTTTATTCAAATGACAGGCAGGAAGCGGTGGTGGCAGAAGGTGGGAGAGGGCAGCCAGGCAGGGGCTGGGCAGGTGAGTGCCGCTTCCCTCTGTCCCTCGCAATCCTGCTTGGACAGCTACCCGGCTGTTGGCATCAGGATCAGAAACACTTTCCCTCTTCTCCCTCCTGCCCCAAACTGAATAAATAGCATCCCTCTCCCCACAAGAGCTAGGGGAGACTCATGTGCTGAGCTTGGTGCCCCAGTCACAGCCCAGAGTCCGATGAGGGCAGAAGTTCAAAATGGCTTGTAGGGACAATACAGAACTGTTCCACTCATTCTCACCTTCTTCTTCCTCCTCCCTGCCACACTCCCCTCCCAGCCTGGTCCCAGGACAGGTGGTCAGCGAGGGTCTGGAATGGGAGAATTGTTGCCTAGCATACACTGAGCTCAAGTTCACAAGGCTATCTAGCCTGTCACCCATCCAGGTTGACCACCAAAGAGAACGTCACTTCACGCCACTTTACGGACAGAAAAGGAGGGGCAGGGAGGGAGGCAGTGGGCGGCCAGGCCTTTCCCAGCCTCAGAGGTAACCAGAGTCCGAGGAGCAGGCCCCCTACCGATCCATCTCATCCAGGAGTGGGGTGGCATCGCCAGCAATGGACATGGGGGTGCTTTCGATCATGGGGCTGGGGGAGGGCCGAGGTGTCAGCCGTTGCTTCTGTTTCCGCCGTTCTGCCTCCTTCTCCTGCAGCCACTGCTCCGCCATCTTCCCCCAGTCGATGGCTGCATGGCTGTTGGACCTGGGAAGGGAAGAAAAATTTAGATTGGGACTTTGTTAAAAGGAAGTCTTCCTACCAATCACTGGGGAGTATCCACCCTTGCAGAAAGGGACCTCACACCTATGGGCAGCAGCCCTTCTGCTGGGGTGAGGCAGATGCAACAGCAGCTGGTTGCCACACTGCCCTCTTCTGTCTTCCCCCAGAAATTAGTGTTCCTGATATATCACATGGTCAGGGCCCTCAGTGGATCCAGAGCACCTGCCCATGCTAAGCCTCTCAGCTTCTTGACAACACCTGCCCCCACTACTGACCTGCACTGTGACAACATCCAGATACTTACTTTGGCTGCTGTTGCCGTTGCCGGGAGCTGGAGGAGGGCTGGGGCTGGGCCTGGGCCGATTGCGGGGTGGTGCTGGCCTGGAGCTGGTGGTACTGAGGGGTGGTGATGGGCTGGCTTGGGGTCGTGTAGGAGTAGCTAGGGGTCATCAGTGGTGTGGCCACTGGCTGTTGGGCTGGCGTTGGGAATACCTGGAGAGACACAAACAGTTAAATGGGGATGGGTGTGGTGTTTGTCTGGCCTTGCTGTGAATTCTGGGTAAGCACAAGGGTGGGCTCAGCAAAGATTTCCAGATGATCCTCCACTGAGTGTGTGCTGCTGACCAGCAGTGGGAAGCCTGCAGGATGGCACCTAGCACACAGTGAGGCCCACCAGTCCCGACCACGTCAGGTTTCTAGTGGCTTGCGGATTCCGAAGATCCCAAAGGCCTGTGGAAAGGTCACGCCCTCTCTTACTCTCTTCCCCTTCAAATGGGCCTGAGGACAAGGAGTATCTGTTGGAGACAGTTACCAAGGCCATGGCAGCCCCATCTGTGGGCAGTGCAAGAGGCCAGTTTATGAGCCCCACCCTATACAGGGAGCCTCCTTCCCAAGTCACGTACATGGTAAGCACTGCTGCCGCCTCCACTGCCGCCATAGCCATACTGGCTGGAGGCCCACTGGGCTGGGGTGGCATTAGGGTTCTGTCCTTGGCCTGTTACCGCAGCAATGGCACTGAACATCTGTGAAGTCATGTTCTGGGGCAGGGCATTCACAGCCCGTGTCAGATCTGTAAGCACACAGAGAGGGGGAGGGGCATGTTAGAGGTGAAAGTCCCTTTAGTTCCATCCTTCCCACCTCTAGTTCCAGGCTCAAGCTCCTTACCTGCAAGGTTGATGTTGGCCGGGGTAGCATTGATAGAGGCAGGTGTCCGGGTCCTGCTGCTGCTGCTAGGGGTGATGCCTGCAGGAAATCCAGAAACCTATTTTTGGTTTTCCAATTCAGTGAGCTGGAAGGGGCACTGAAGTAGGTGGAGGGAGGAAGGGAAGCTGCATCGGCAGTGGATGGAGAACCTTCCTGATGCTAGGAGGCTGGGGGCTAGTAAGATAACTGCAATGACAGCCTACTCCTCACCACTCCCCTAGGCTGGGACTACTCTGAGTCTGGTCTGAGGTGTTCCTCCAGCCATATACCCCTGAAGTCAGAAGACCAGAACTCACCTGGTACAGGATCCTGGTAGTGATCCTTAAACCATCTGAAGAGTCCATTCACGGTTGGGAAGATCTGACCCCGGTACCGGAATCCCTCTGGAGTCACCGTTACATATTCTATCCTGGGATTTTAGAAGGAAACATGCATCAGAAACCACTTGGGACTCACCATGAGAAAGCGACCAGAACAGATGTCCACCATGTGAAGTAGCCATTCTGGGTGCTAGGGGAAAGGAGAGATGACACAGCCAGTCCCTAGGCCTGTGAAGGGAGGTGAGCGGCACAGAGTACAGTCAAGGCCAAGGAGTCGGTGGCCCCCCGTGTGCTGCATACAGGCTGCTGGAGGAAGGCTTGCTGGAGGCTATGTCACCATACTGGGCTGCAGTGCGAATGCAGCATACAGCCAGTGAGGTGAGACGGAGGTCCCATAATGCCAGGGTTGGAAAGGGCCTTCCAGGGTAGCAAATTGCTACTCCCCAAAAGCAGGCATCTTTCTGCAGTGGCTGTGGAAGGTGGTTAGTCTGCCCTTCAACACTTCTGAGTAGCAGACAGTAGTTAAGAGGAGGGCTCTAGGTTAGTTCCAATTCTAGTTCTAGTTTTAGCTCTGTCATTCACCACCTATGACACATTGCACCAAATTACTAAACTTGAATCTCTGCTTCATTTGTCCAATGAGGACCACAGCATTTCAACCTATGGGGTGGGTGTGAGGATAAATGAGAATGCACAGAGCATATTCCACAACGCCTAAAGCTGGGCTGTGCTCAATAAAGTCCAGCTATCAAGGGCAAACAGACAATGCTACACAGTACACAGTTCTCATTTCTATTAGGTTAACACCTGCGCCCTAACTCTGTAAGTGTTAATTCTGCCACACAAGGAGAGTCAGCTGCTTTCCACAGAAGCTATCATCCTGCACCTGCTCCTGGTGAGAGGCCCCAGTTTGTTCAACTGTTCCTCATGGGACACAGGTGCCAGCTCCACACAGCCCTGGCTGCTGGCCTCTGGAAGCACACTGGTGAATCAGAACAGGCTTCTCAAGAAATGAGCACAATATTCCAGATATGCCCAAGATGGCACACGGTCCAGAGTCTAGGGCTTCCTGTCATCTGGCCACTGAGCTCCTACTAATACTGCCTGAGCTGTGCATCACGTGTAGCCAGTACAGGGATAAAAGGAGATGTGCACATGGCCTTGGCCAAAGGCCAATGGAAGGATGGGGGCAGGGCTTAGGCAAAGAGAGTGAGTGTGATTATTAGTTTGTATCACAGACGCAAAGAAGGCAGGTGTAAGAAAACTGGACCTTGTCCTCTAGGTTCAAGGTGAGTGCTAGAGGGACTCAGATAAAGGAATACCTCAGGAAGGTCAGCCTGTGAGACACAGAAGCGGGCAGAGCAGGAGACAGAGCAGAACGGGAGAGGTTCTCCTGACCACCGCCTCAGTGCTGGTGGAGT